AAACTGCCTCCTTCCATATTTTAAGGTCTGACTAAAAGTTTCTCTGTAAACCATAAACTATAACCTAAATGGAGGTGTAAACAGATTGTAACCTACTCTCCTGCCAATCACCGAGTTTTGGCCAAAGGGAGCCAACTGTTCAAACCATGTTCAAATTAGGCAACACTGAGCTGTAATCAATCCAGCTATTTCTGTACCTCACTTTCATTTTGTGTAATCATGTTCCTTTTTCTGTCTATAAACCTTTCATCACATGGCTCTGCTAGAGTATCTGAGCCTACTGCCAAGGAAAATTCAAACTCTGTAAAACATTTGAAGAGTTTTATTTGGAGCAAAATATGAGTGACCATGGCCTGTGACACAATAATTAGGAGACACTGAGAACATGTGCCCCAGGTGGTCAGGGCACAGCTTAAGTTTATACATTTTAAGGAGATTTTAAACTACTGGAGAGGATTTTTCAGATTAATTACCAAATTAATCTTACCAAAGATTATCAAGGTCATGTGAATTAAAAGGCATCTGAACTAGTAGTCTGATAAGCACTTACTTTTTTAAAGTCAATTAATTAGAACTCTTTCACACAGTCTGGTAGTGAAATATCACTTCCACACCTGTGACCCATATAACATACTGATAAAACAGACATACAGAACAAAAAAGGCAGATTCAAAATTTGCCTGTTTTAAAAAAATTATCTCCCTTACTTTAAATTATCAACTAAAAAAATTTACAGGAGCCAACAAAAGGTGAAGAAGAGACCAGGAGCAGTGGCTCACACCTATAATCCTAGCACTTTGGGAGGCCAAGGCCAGCAGATCACCTGAGGTCAAGAGTCTGAGACCAGCCTGGCCAACATAGTGAAACTCCATCTCTATTAAAAATATGAAAATAAATAGTGGGGCACAGTGGCACATGCATGTAACCTCAGCTACTCAGGAGGCTGAGACACAAGAATTGTGTGAACCCAGGAGGCAGAGGGTTTTTTTGTATATATATATATATTTTTGAGACAGAGTCTCACTCTGCCACCAGGAGCCAGGCTGTAGTGTAGTGGCGTGATCTCAGCTCACTGCAACCTCCACCTCCCAGGTTCAAGCAACTCTCCTGCCTCAGCCCCCTGAGTAGCTGGGACTGTAGGCACATGCCACCACCCCCAGCTAATTTTTGTATTTTTAGTAGAGACGGGGTTTCACCATGTTGGCCAGGATGGTATCGATCTCTTGACCTCATGATCTACCTGCCTCAGCCTCCCAAAGTGCTTGGATTACAGGCGTGAGCCACCGCACCTGGCCAAGGCAGAGGTTTCAGTGAACCCAGATCACACCATTGCCTGGGCAACAGAGTGAGATTCCATCTCAAAAAAAAGGTGAAGAAGACAGTTACCATCTTAGGCCTTTTTAAAAGAGAGCAAGAGCTAAACTGATATAGTAATCTGAAGAATTTCAAAGAGACAGATTATAGAATTTAAAAATTAAAAACCTCTTGCATTAAAAATAAATAAATATTTTAAATAAAATCTTGTTATAATTCTTCAGTTTTGTATTCATGTATTTTTAATATCAAAGTCCCAGCTCTAGAAAGTCTATTATATTTAATTATCACCAACTGAATTATATAACTTTTTTAAAAATAAATTCCTTTTTTACTATCCTTATTTACAACTTACATAGGCCATTCATGACGAGCTTGAACTTTATGGTTTGTCCTAAAGATCTCTCTTTCTTGAGCAACCAGTCATCTTATTTTAGGACAAAAAGATTCACCATACAAGATATTTTCTCATATAAAATTTTTCTTTTAACCTTTCTTACCCAAAATGCCTCCTTACATCTATAACTTTCTTTACATTTCTCTTACCTCATGGTTCCTTTTACTTTGTTTTACATATAACCTCCAAATAACCTTTGAATTAGACAAAAGATATTTACCTTTAATAAGAACACTTTTTTAAATGTTTTCCTATGTTTAAATTAGAAATTATATAGACATTTAATTAATATTTAATATAATCTTAGATTCTAAATTATGACAAATTTGTTTACAAGTATTTATTGCATTTATCTGATTAAATTATTTAATATTTACCTATATTATTTATAAAAACTGTGACAGTTATTATTCAAAGTTATTTCCCCGTTAATTATTTTTATAACCTATTAATTTCAGGGATTTACCTAACTAAGAAACTTAAGGTTAAAAGTATGAGTATTTAACCAATAACTCAGGATTTCGCTGTTTTCATTAAACCAACATTAAATGTCTTATTTATCAAAAATTATACAAGCAAAGATCATTCTGTTTTGGGCTAGCTTTGTAGTTTTATAATCCTTATGGCATATTTTGACACCTTATAGTATTCTGCAGAGATAAATACAAACCTCTTAATCAATAAATGCAAACAAAAATACTATCAATTCTTAAGACATTTCTAATAATTATTTTACCAATAATTTTAAAGCCAACTTAAGCTTACATCATGTGAACTTGAAAGACTTAATATCTCTATTGACTTAACGTCTCTATCTTTTTTTCTTTTTTTGAGATGGAGTTTCGCTGTTGTTACCCAGACTGGAGTGCAATGGCACGATCTCGGCTCACTGCAACCTCCACCTTCTGGGTTCAAGCAATTCTCCTGCCTCAGCCTCCCAAGTAGCTGGGATTACAGGCACGCACCAACATGCCCAGCTAATTTTTGTATTTTTAATAGAGACGGGGTTTCACCTTGTTGACCACGATGGTCTCAATCTCTTGACCTTGTGATCCACCCACCTTGGCCTCACAAAGTGCTGGGATTACAGGCGTGAGCCACTGTACCCGGCCTTCCTACCATTCTTATCTACTTATCAAGACAAAACCTGCCAATGTCTCAGCCTACCTACATTCCAAGTGTTTGGAATTTGGTGGTAAGACCTGACCTGAGGCTTCTTATAATCTTTACTCAGCGGAAATGTGCATATATTTTACTACAGCATATTGTGTTTATTTAGAGGAGCTGCCCTGGATCTGTAGGGGATGAGTCTTTTCTAAATTGTTAAAAGCAGTTCATGCCAATATTCTGAATAAATATTTCTAAAATGCAAAAAAGTTATTCTTGCTTTACTTTATACAAATAATTGGGTCAAGCACAATAAGTCTTAAAACTAAGACTTGGCCAGGCACAGTGGCTCACACCTGTAATCCCAGCACTTTGGGAGGCCAAGGCAGGCAGATCGCATGAGGTCAGGAGTTCGAGACCAGCCTGACCAACATGGAGAAACATGTTTCTGCCAAAAATACAAAATTAGTTGGGCATGGTGGTGCATGGCTGTAATCCCAGCTACTTGGGAGGCTGAGGCAGGAGAATCGCTTGAACTTGGTTGCGGTGAGCTGAGATCGTGCTACTGCCCTCCAGCCTGAACAACAAGAGCAAAACTCCAAAAAACTAAGACTTATTTTGCAAGTAAATTTGTCCTATAATTTGTCTTTAATAAAAAGGGGGGCTAGAGAGAAATATCATGTTTCAAAAGAGCTGTAGCATACTTGTTAGATTCTAGTCTTGCCTGCTATTCTTGAGTTTTTATTATTTTTGGCAATTTGGACTAAATTCTGAATTCTTTGTGGACTATGAGCCCCCAAACTAATGTTTTCAAACTTTTCTTCCACTTTTCTGACTTCTACTCAATGAAATTTCTACTACCTTTTTCCAGAGGCCCTGCAAGCTAAACATTATTCCTTGTCCTACAGGTGACAAAAATGTGTCAGATTACCATGCCTTCCTTGTCTACAACTAAAGGTATTTTGAGTCTAACATCGGATAAGTTATGCCCAACATTAACCTTTTTCTTCTATTCCACAGAAATGCCTGTTATTGCAGCCGGGGGCGGTGGCTCACACCTGTAATCTCAGCACTCTGGGAGGCATGTGGATCAACGAGGTCAAGAGATTGAGACCATCCTGGCCAACATGGTGAAACCCTGTTTCTTCTAAAGACAGAAAAATTAGCTGGGCATGGTGGCACAGCCTGTAGTCCCAGCTACTTGAGAGGCTGAGGCATGAGAATCTCTTGAATCCGGGAGGCAGAGGTTGCAATGAGCTGAGATCATGCCACTGCACTCCAATCTGGTGGCAGAGTGAGACTCGTCTCAAAAAAAAAAAAAAATGCCTCTTACTAAAAATCTGTTTGCCTCATCGCACATAGAGGCCTAGCCCATCTGCAATGCCACTCTCCTGATATGGGAAATAGCCATTTAACTGAACTGATCTAGTCTCAGGACTAGAAAACTGACTAACATATATGGAATGGTATATTTAAATATGCTGTTTCCCATCTATCCCAATCAGTCTAACAACCTCTGGCCTAAATCTCTCTCTGCTAGTGACTCCATGCCTGATTGGTTCTTAGAGCTATTCACCTGGATCCCTCAGAGATTAAGATCAATTATACAAAGGCTTCTGAAGCCAGGAGTTTCACTCTTTATCCTAGGACTCATTATTTACCTTATACTTCACCGTTCACTTAAATGCTGTGCTAAAATGAGAATACTAATGCTTTATCATGCAAGCCTTGAAACCCCACCCAGGCACTTCTGAGTATGGCAAACAGCTGCAAAGCAGTTCCACTCCTCTTACCTCAGGGTCAACACCTACTCCCATTATGCCTCATGTTGGCAGGAAAAAGCTCAAGTGGTCATTGATCGCCCTTTCTTGTCTTCATAGCCCACATCTTAAGAAGAAGGTGTTTCATAACCTTATTTACTCCTGAAATTTACTCCTGCCTTTAGAAACCCAAAGGGAGGGGCTGAAACTGCCTTTGCAAAAATTCAAACTCAGAATATTATGATGGTGAAAGAGAGCTGACCTAACCAACTCCATCTTGCCTCTAACCTCCAAGCTGCCCTTGTTCATTCCCGGGCACAGGCCGAACTAACTTTGGGAGGAACTTATTATAGTTTAACTTTGGAACAAAGATTATAACAGCCCTTTCCCAAAACAAATCCCCTTCCTTCCTGGGGACTAGACTAACAAATTAGCCACAAGATTAGAGATTATGGTTTTGGAGTCATGCAGCTAGGGGGCACAAGATTCCAAATATCCCCAAACTGCTCCTCAGGATAACATCAAGTTTGAGGGAAAGGCTACACATATTTATGAGGGGAGCCCCATATACGCTTAACGGGTAAGCACAGTTACATAAATCCTATGTTCACTTTGGGGCAGAGTTTTAGAATAAAAATGAGGTAAAAGCTGGCCTTCATGTCAAAAAGTAAACTGTAGGACACAAACGTGGTTTGTGTGCAGCATCCCTCTATAAGCCGGCTAAAACTGGCTTGAATTCTGTAGTTGCTTATTAGGAACTCTTTGTAAGACTGGTCCTGTGTCCAATCAGAGTTGCAGTGTAAATCAAAGCTGATTGCTCCTTTTTTTTTTGAGACAAAATTTCACTCTTGTTGCCCAGGCTGGAGTGCAATGGCACAGTATCGGCTCACTACAACCTCCGCCTCCTGGGTTCAAGAGATTCTCTTGCCTCAACCTCCTGAATAGCTGGAATTACAGGTGACCACTATCACGCTCAGCTAATTTTTTGTATTTTTAGTACAGACAGGCTTTCACCATGTTGGTCAGGCTGATCTCGAACTTCTGACCTCAGGTGATCCACCTGCCTTGGACTCCCAGAGTGCTGGGATTACAGGTGTGAGCCACTGCACCCAGCCAGATGGGAGTTTACTCAGGAATTTCAAAATGTGCCATGCCAGCCAGGCCCTGAACCCTGACCCATAGGTAACTTTGTTTCCTTAAACTTTGGGTCCATCTTAATTGATAAAAGGGCATCTATTTTATTCTTTCAGGTCACATATGGAATTATTAAAGAGGGAAGAGGTCATAGGAACCCCAGAATTTGTAGTTGGCCAGGCAGAAGTGCAGGTAGTCTAGGAATCCCATTTGTGGTGTCTGAAGTGATGGCAGTCTTGAGGGATTCAGTGCCAGGTTAGCATGGGGTCTGTGCTAACCCACTGTAGTTAGTGTCAGATTTTAATTCAACTGTAGAACACCTAGTTGGTGTCAGAGAACTGAAGAACTGTTTATATGGAAAAACAAGTCCCTCAGCCAGGAAGGGACAGAGTCCGATTTAAACCCAAGCTTTTTACCAGAATCTAGCCAAAGAGTAACTAATATTGACAGTTGTGAATGACAATTCAGTAGTATCTGGGGCCAGAACAAAAAGGGCATTTTAAATGTAGGTTGGTTGGGGGTTTCTTGGGGAACTTTGTCTTTAGTGGAAAGAGAGGGGTTGCAATGGATGAGAAGTACAGGTGTGAGGGTTTCTGCTGTCATGATTCTTGTTTTGTGTGAAAGAGGTTTGAGCACGTTGAAACAGGCAGAGGCTAGATGTAGAAAATGCTTAATGGGGGTGTCAAAGGATATAATTACAAAAGACATAGTTTAAAGATCTCAATTGGCTCCTCCTCTTCAGTTTGCACCGCGAACTGAAGAGCGAGGCATGGCGGGCTGGGCTGACACCCCACTGAGGGACCGTAACTCTTTGTCCCAATGCCTCCATGAGCAAAGTTGAGTGGGTACCGGTGGTCGGAGCCGTGGAGGTGTCCTTGGTGGTGAGCGCGGCCAGAACTCCGGTCACGTATAATTTGGCCTCCTGAGATTCTACCTTAGCAAGAAAGGAGCGGGAGATACTCTTGGACAGAAAACTAAAATAATAAGAAAGCCAAAACTTATTTTTACATGGTTGTCAGCACATTTACCGACATGGACACTTTTCCCAATAATTTGCCTCCTGGTGGAAACAGTGGATTGACAGGTTCTCAGTGGGCGTTCCAGAAAATGTTAATTGATGAAAGGTTACGATGTGGGCATCATAAAGCTAATTATCAGACTCTGAAAGCCGAACACACAAGGTTGCAGAATGAATATGTAAAGTCACAAAATGAACTCAAGCACCTGTTAAATGAAAAGCAAATTCACCAGGAAAAACTTCAGCTGCTTCAAGAACTAAGAGAAGAATTAGTAGAGAAAACTAAAGGCTTAGAAGAAATGAGACTGCAGATATTAACTCCACAAAAATTGGAATTGCTAAGAGCCCAAATTCAACAAGAATTAGAAACTCCAATGAGAGAACGTTTTCAGACCCCGGATGAAGAGGTGGAAAAGTATAGAGCTGTATATAATAAGCTTCACCATGAACATACATTTCTCAAGTCAGAATTTGAACACCAGAAGGAAGAGTTTGCGCATATTTTAGAATATGGAAAAATGAAATATCAATCAGAGACTGCAAGACTGGAGGAAGATAAAGAACTATGTAACCAGCTGCTTAATGTTGATCTCACAAGAGACAGCAAACGAGTGAGCAACTTACTCGAGAAAAAGTCTATTTGTATAAAAAATTAAAAGGTTTAGAGGCTGAAGTAGCAGAATTATGGGCTGAAAAGGAGAATTCTGGCACTCAGGTAGAAAATGTCCAAAGAATACAGGTGCGGCAGTTGGCTGAGGTGCAGGCTACAGTCAGGTCCCCAGAGGCTGAAAAACAGTCAGCTAAGCTATGGGCAGAACACTTGGAAAAAGAGCTACAATCAAGCAATGAATAAAATACCTGTTTGATTAATAAATTGCATAAAGCAGAACAAGAAATAAATACATTGTCCAGTACAGTAAAAGAACTTAAACATCCAAACAAACTAGAAATAACAGACATCAAACTGGAGGCAGCAAGAGCTAAGAGTGAGCTAGAAAAAGAAAGGAGTAAGATTCAAAGTGAACTGGATGGACTACGGTCAGACAATGAAATTCTCAAAGCAGCTGTTGAACACCACAAAGATATTCCTCAAGAAGAGCAACCCCACGATACATAATCGTTAGATTCACCAGGGTTGAAATGAAGGAGAAAATACTAAGGGCTGCCAGAGGTCAGGTTACCCACAAAGGGAAGCCTATCAGACTCACAGCAGATCTCTAGGCAGAAACCCTACAAGCCAGAAGAGAGTGGGGGCCAATATTCAACATCCTTAAAGAAAAGAACTTTAAACCCAGAACTTCATATCCAGCCAAACTAAGCTTCACAAGTGAAGGAAAAATAAAATCTTTTATGAACAAGCAAGTACTCAGAGATTTCATTACCACCAGGCCTGCTTTACAAGAGCTTCTGAAAGAAGCATTACACATAGAAAGGAACACCCAGTATTAGCCTTTCCAAAAATATACCAAAAAGTAAAGAGCATCAACATAATGAATTTACATCAACTAATGGGCAAAACAGCCAGCTAACATCAAATGGCAGTAATCCTAAATTTAAATAGACTAAATCCCCCAATCAAAAGATACAGCCAAAACCCATCAGTATGCTGCATCCAGACCCATCTCACATGCAAGGATACACAAAGACTCAAAACAAAGGGATGGAGAAAGATTTAGCAACCAAATGGAGAGCAAAAATAAATAAAAAGCAGAAGTTGCAATTCTCATCTCTGATAAAATGGATTTTAAAGCAACAAAGCAACAAAGATAAAAGGATCAATGCAACAAGAAGAGCTAATGATCCTAAATATATATGCACCCAATACAGGAGCACCCAGATACGTAAGACCTATACAGAGACTTAGACTCCCACACAATAATAGTGGGAGACTTCAACATCAATATTAGATAGATCAACAAGACAGAAAATTAATAAGGATATCCAGGACTTGAACTCACATCCAGAACAAGTAAACTTAATAAACATTTATAGAGCTCTCCACTTTAAATACACAGAATGTACACTCTTACCAGTACCACATACACCTACTCACAGGTTTAAATGAAATATTGGTTGGCCATTATTAAGCACAATTATTGGCATAAAAGAGGTTTTCAATACCCATTTTTAGAATAAAGCAACTCCCGTTCTCTCTCCCTCTTCCTCTTTCTTCCTCCCCTTCATGACATATTTCTTTCTCTTTTTTTTTTTTTCAAAAAATAAAAAAATAAACCTCTTTTCTTTATAAATTACCCAGTCTCAGGTATGTCTTTATTAGCAACATGAAAACAAACCAATACACATTCCAACTATATTCTTTCAATTATTTTAAATGGTAGAATAAATACTTTTTGGGCTATCAAATACTAGATCTTATTCATTATGTCTAACCATATCTTTGTACCCATTCAACTGTCCCTACTTCTCAACCCCACTAACCTCTGCAGCCTCTGGCAACCATCATTCTATTCTCTTTCCCTATGAGTTCACTTGTTTTAATTTTTAGTTCCCACAAAAAAAAAAAAAAAAAGATCTCAATATCTCAATTGGCTTTATTTGCAACAAGAGCATAAGACAAAACCTCTTTCTATAAAACAGAACGAGTGTTCTGATGAGCTGAGCAGAGGAGATTGGTTTTACAGACAGAGAAGGGCTGAAGAAAGCAAAAACAAAGAACAAAGAGTGGGTAAGTCATTTCACAGTTACTGTCCTTATTAGGTGGGAAGAGAAAACAGAACAATGGAGAAATAACTAATTGCTTAACATCAGTTTACATTTTTTGGTAATGATTAGGGCAGATGAAACTTTATTATCATGCATGTTTGGGAAATTAGGCTGTTCTCTCTCTCTCCTGATTTCTAGGAAGGTCAAGTAACAACTTCATTTTGGTTGAGTTACATAAAACTTCAGTATGACTGACTTCAGTTTGATTTTTACTCTCATCACTGGAGCCTAGTCCAGGAGCTTAGTCCAAAACAATGGCCGTCTATAATTTTTATATAACAATTTTCCCCTTTTGGTCAAGGCTCAAGTGAGAACCTGACCAAAACCAAGGGCATTGGCACTAGTCTCAGTTACCATCATTTTAGGGTTTCCAGTCTCAACACATCATTCATGGGGTACAGTGTCCACATCATCGTGCATTATTTGAGTTTTTTGTTATTCTAGCAAAAGACAGACTATTTGACATTCAACAGATGGCTGTATGCAAACATTTAAAACTTCTTTTTTTGATACAGAGTCTCACTCTATCGCCCAGGCCGGGGTGCAGTGGCACGATCTCGTTCACTGCAGTCTCTGCCTCCCAGGTTCAAGTGATTCTCCTGCCTCAGCCTCCCAAGTAGCTGAGACTACAGACATGCACCACCACACCCAGCTAATTTTGGTGTTTTTGCCATGTTGGCCAGGCTGGTCTCGAACTCTGACCTCAGGTGATCCGCCCACCTTGGCTTCCCAAAGTGCTGGGATTATGGCCACAAAGATTTAAAACATTTTGAGAGCATATAGTGCAACAGAGACTGCTATTGTTACCTCAGGAGGATAATATTAAGAGTCTGGAGTATGCTCCTTCGCTAGGGTCCTCATGAAACAAACCAACTAAAATAGAATAAATTGAAGAATGAGCCAGATGAGGAGTGCATCCATCTTAAACAAGTAGCCAGTCTGTTAATTTTTTCATCCCAGTCTCTCTGATACCTGATATATTTATCCTTGTGCAACAAAAAGTGTTAGCAACTGCAACAATTCCTTCTTGTTCAGCTAACAGAAAATCTCTCACCTCATGACTGAGTTAAAGTATGGAGTGACAATTTGCAAGTTACCCACTGAAGCTACTGATTATGAAATTCTAACTATAGCATTATTCTGCCAGACAAAAAAGATAGGCATAAGCAAGGAAAAATTAAGGAAAATAAGAGTCATATTATGGCAGAGTATTGTTCTGACAGTTTTGGTTTTTGGAGACAGGGTCTAGCTCTGTCACCCAGGCTGGAGTGTAGTGGCAGTGGCATGATCTCAGCTCACTGCAACCTCCACCTCTTGGGCTGAAGCCATCCTCCACCTTAGCCTTGTGAGTAGCCAGGACTACAGGCATGCGCCACCATGCCTGGCTAATTATTGTATTTTTTGTAGAGACAAGGTTTCGTCATATTGCCCAGGCTGGTCTCAAACTCCTGGGCTCAGCAATCCACCTGCTTCAGCCTCCCAAAGTGCTAGGACTACAGGCAAGAGCCATCACACTCAGCCATTCTGACAGTCTTGAGAAAAACTCCCCATGATAAGGTTAACAACTCATATCAGTTTGTGGTTTCAATGTCTCTGATTATGGCATCAGGCAGTTCGGTGAACCCTTGATGTGGTCCACACATCGGGCATGAGACTTGTCCCTTAAAATTTGCATCGAGTTGTCTAGCTTCAGCTGTGGGGCTTTAGGAACAGAGCAGTTCTTGTTCTTAGTTGGAAAATTATAGCCAGAAACTGGAGGAAACTAGAATTTGGGATCCAGTCCAGTGTACAGGCAGAAAACAAAAACTTGAAAACAATGAATAGGAGTACAACCTAATAACAGGTGTACTATAGTTTTCCTTATTCTCTTTACAGTCACTCCCATGTATTTTTTTTTTAAAAAGAGGCCAGGCGCAGTGGCTCACGCCTGTAATCCCAGCACTTTGGGAGGCCGAGGTGGGCGGATCACAAGGTCAAGAGTTCGAGATCTGCCTGGCCAACATACAACAACCCCGTCTCTACTAAAAATAGAAAAAATTAGCTGGGTGTGGTGGCAGGAACCTATAATCCTAGCTACTCAAGAGACTAAGGTAGGAGAATTGTTTGAACCTGGGAGGCAGAGGTTACAGGAAGCCAAGATCACACCCCTGCACACCAGCCTGGGCAACAGTGTAAGGGGCCATCTCAAAAAAAGACAAGACAAGACAGAGAGAGAGAGAGAAAGAAAGAGAGAACAAAAGAAAAGAAAGGAAAGAAAGAAAAGAAAGAAAGAGAAAGAAGCATGTTTCTTTAAACACATTCCTTTCTTCACCTCTGGCTGCTGTCCTCTCTTCTCACCATAAGAGGTCTGAAGAGTAGTCAATCTACTCCTGTTTGTATGTTTACCTCCCACTCATTCCTCCAGCCTCGCCTCTCCACCTCAACTGCTCTTACTGACATCTCTAATACTTTCTGTGTTCTAAACCAAGGACATTTTCAGGTCTTTATCTTAAGTTCCAAACTATTCTATTATCTCTGCAGTACCTGCAACACAAGACACCTAGAAAAGAACTCACTTTTCTTCCCTGCACCCCCAAACACACTCCTCTTTTTCCCTTTCTTTTTTTTTATTGCATTTTAGGTTTTGGGGTACATGTGAAGAACATGCAAGATTGTTGCGTAAGTACACACATAGCGGTGTGATTTGCTGCCTTCCTCCCATTCACCTATATCTGGCATTTCTCCCCATGCTCTCTCTCCCCAACTCCCCACCCCCCCACTGTCCCTCCCCTCTCTCCCCTCTGGGTACCTCCACTATTGGTCATCCAAGAAACCTGGATGACAGCCTAGTCCTCATTTTCTCCCATGCCCTCGGCCTCATCCATTGCCAAATCCCCTCACTCTATCAACCCCCACAGAGCACTCAAGTGTATACTTGATTCCAGTGCAATTTCCCCATAGCCTCTATCATAATCATTCTAAAATGTAAGTCAGATAATGCCAGTCCTCTACTAACAGTCTTCCAGTAGCTCTTCATTGCCACCAGAGTAATCTCTAAGCACATACAGGAGAACAGAGTTCTCTGGGATCTTGAAGGCCCAGCCTTTCCAGCCTCGTCTTTCACCACATCCTCCTCTTATTGGATGCCCAAACTCGACAGAAACTCTCAGTAGCTTCCTGAACTTGCCAGGTGATTCCATGCTGTACTTTGACATGGAACCTGCAATGTCCTTTCTGGCCCCATTTGCTGGGCCAACTCCAATTTGTCCTTCAAGACTTAGCTTGTACCTTCTCAGGGATTCAGTAACTTGCATAGGGACAGTTTCATTATTCATCTACTGTAGGTCTTCTTTTTGAGACTCTTAGGATATTTGGATTAGTGTAAACTCAAAATGGTTTCATACAGCACTAAAGAAGTATGGCCTACAGTAATCCCACAACTACAGAAGTGGATTTGTTCTTTCAGTCACATGTTGGTGACTCAAAATCTGTATTAAGCATTTGTAAGTATTTATAAATGGTGCTTTTTTATTATTCACAGTATACCAAGGTAAAAATAAGCTTTCTTAAGTTAGAATTCTGTAAAGATTTCTGCTTATTCAGCTCATCCCATCTCACTCATTACCAGAATCTTCATGTAACAGCTTGGTTGGTCTGTCAATACAGGTGTCTTTACATAACAAATCCTACAGATGCCCTTAACTCTGAATTCAACAAGGCAATGTTGAAAAAGACCAACCTAGCACTCTGTATTTTTTTTTTCACCGTCTTACGGTGCTGCAGCACTCTGTAATGAGAATGATATAGAAGAACTTTCTTAGGAATGCATAACATCCATGAAACCCTACATTTGATGATGGCATGGGAATATATAATTTTCTCCATGGGTTTCAGCTGTAAATGGATAATAATGGTAATCTCACATGATTATCCTGATGACTAAATGAAGAGAACTTTGAACAAGAGATTCATCAGCATATAAAAGGTATTTAAACCATGGGAATTGACAAGATAACTAGAGAGAAAAAGTTGAAAGAGTAAAGATCCCAGCCCTCCTTCCAAATGTTCCCCACTCATTAGTTCATTCAACAATTATTTTTGAGTGTCTAAGATCTGCCCATCATTGAGGAGGCATGGGTATACAAAAGAGACATGGAAAAAGCTTATAGTCTTCTCAGAGAGACAGGTAGCACACAATATTTAACTATAAACTATAAAAATTGCTCTAAAGGAAAAGTTTCAGCACTCAGAATTTAATGAGGACCTAATTCAGATTAAATAAAATCATGTATATAAAGAACTTAGCATACTATCTGAAATCTAGTAAGCACTTTGTTCAGAGAAGGCATCCCTAAGAAAGTGGCAATTATGTGGACACCAAAAACCTAGGAGTTAGTTATGTAAAGAGGAGGAGGAGCCGGGCATGGTGGCTC